GAATTCTTCTCAAGAAGTCGATAAGCCGTCTTTGTATATATTTGTATATATCCGCATTTAACTTCAACAAAAATGAAGTAAGATAAAAAGTACATATATTTTTTATATACAACTCTTTCTAAATGAAGTAAAAATATAAAAACTATTGTGGACCTTAAACTAGACATTTAGTCGTATCTTAAAACTGCTGCTTTAGGCCTTCCTCTTACTATCACTTTTTGTTCGATATATGTAGGAACAAGCTGTAATAAAACATAGTTTTTTTTGTATAGATAAACAAATATAAGGAGGGAAAAGTAAAAAATGGACGGATAGTAACTTGAGTAAAACAAAACGTACGTTATTGAATGAATTATGGAATGACTAAATAGTTATATTTCAGTAACCCCAAAAAAATATGTGAGATTTATGCTCGATATATTTCTACTATTCTAAGATAGATGTGGTGTGCCAAAGTGATCTATGTCCAACCATACAAGGGTTAGGTTGAATCATTATACGTGAACAGGCTGCATCATTTGTGATACATGTTTAATTTATGAAATGTTCATAAATAACAATTATCGACATTTCTCAGCTTACAGAACAGGGTGCTTTACCATAAGTGTAATCTTGTCTTAATTTTGAATTTCAAAAACCCCTAGAAACTAGATGTACTTGTGTAGGGTCCCCGAAATTGTTCTGTTTCAAGAATAAATAAAACCAAAATTAAGAGTATTTGTTTGTTTGAAGTTAAGCACAAAGCTACACAATGGGCTATCTGTGCTCTGCCCACCACGGGTATCGAAACCCGGTTTCTAGCGTTGTAAGTCCGCAAACTTACCGCTGTGCCACTAGGGGGGCAAATTAAGAGTAACAAATATTTCAATTTCTTGCATTTCAAGCTCATATGTCATGCTGTGTTGTAGTCTACAGAATCCATAAATATTCTCGTGATTCACGGCATGTGCACGTTTTACTGACGTCATGACAGTACAATATGCAACGTTAAGCGTCCCTTGTGTGACGTCATTTTAGTGTCTATTGACTGACTGACAACATACTATTGCATAGTGGTGCGAGGGTTTAAAACAGGTGACTCCCTCCAGGCTTATTTCCCTCTTCCGGGGAAATAAGCTAAAATTGAGGAAACCTCCATTTAAACAATAATCTCTGTCTTGCTGAATGCTAAGTGTATTTCGTTTTTCTGTGGTGGCTATTTCTCTACATCTTAAGAGGTATTTTAATTTAATTACCATTCAGTAATTAACAGAAATCCAAATATACGTCTTAGCCACTGAAATGTGTGTAAAATATTTTATTAATTTTTGCACTAAAAATAACACAATCATACATATTTCTGACAATGGAGATTCTTAATTAAGCTTTGTTTATATAAATTATTTCTAGCTGAGAATGTAAGCTGTTCCTAAAAATTCTGCTTGAGTTGATTCTTTACAGTGCAATCGAAATCAGAAGAGTAGACAGTAGGCATTAAAATACAAAACGTCTCCACAAAAAAATGACTTACTCAAACACTCGGTCTGGTGGAAGCAAAAATGCCATTTCAGAGCAACCTCTTCAAAACGAGTAATAAATAAGTGCGTGACTATACGACTAAGCACTTATTGCTGTCGCCAACTCTGTAACCATGGTTACGGTACTTCGGTGTGAAATGCTGTTTCTATCTTACCTAAAGCAACGCGATCTCTGCCCAAAGACAGCATTGTGTACTTAGTCATTTTATTGTAAATACAATTGCTATATATGTTTGTGTGTGTATGTACATACATACATGTATCACACGAACTTGTTCTGGCTGATTGCGCTGTAGTAAAATAACTGTGCTGTTAGTGAGTTAATATAGTTAATGGTATGACCTACTTTTCATTATATGCCTTACTTTTAAATCTGGTTAGTATAGCTCAGCATCAGCCATTTCTTTTATACTCTTTTTAAACTTCGACTTGAGCATTTTGATGTGAGATGTTAATTTCATTTGTATATATATTTTTCTTAGGATGTTTAACTGTCGATCGTACACGTAACCCATGTTTTGATGTGCAGTTCATGTTTTCTGTACGTTAACATGCGTCAAGGTAGAGAACATTTACATTGTCTGGCAATTTTTGAAGACAGAACTTTACAGTAAACTATAAAACATCAAACATCTTATCAAATTCTATGTAATGAGACAACCAGCCTGTACGTTATGTATCCAGAGAAACTATTTGCTTACAATTTTTACTCAGCTACTCATGATAAGCTGAAAGCTTTGACGTCCTATGGAACAACATAATACATAGTAAATAATAATAGGTAGTAGTTTCATAGATTAATTTGGCATCTAAGTGATGGGACACAAATTATATAAAAAAATCAAACAAATCGTTCATGTATAAACCTTAGTGAGTCACCGAAGTTTCAATTATTTTTGACCCTCTTTCTCTGTGGTTTAATACCTATAAAAGCACACGGTTAATAATAGTTCAAGTATGACTTGCGTATAACAAAACAATGTCATTTTTGTAGCTGGCAATGGAAATAATATGAGAAGTTTTCTACTAAGCTGCTGTTCCTACTACTACTACTAAAGTATACGTTCCGATAATAAAACATCATGAGGCTTGTAATGCATGCTACTTTGTTGCTTTTTGTTTTCTCTTTCATAGAAAGGTGGTTCAAACAGAAAATATTTTTCTTCCTCTGGCGTCTAGTTTCTATAGAGTTCCATCTTTATATACGATATTGTACAAGAGAGAATAAAAAAAAACACATGTGTAGCGAATATACATTAATAATTAATGGTTATCCTTTAGCAATCATTGGAGTAAAAAGTTTTGGCCAATAGCTGGGGACTATTACGAAGATTTATTGGAGTATGGAAGTTGCAACTTTGTGTTAGACAGCTGTAAAGTTCAAAAACATGTTGGATAACACGTGCAGAAAAACTTACGATACTGACACGTTGGATAATACACGTGTAGGGAAACTTGTGATGCTGAAACGAAACAAAGTGTACACACCTGTGTGCATATATATATATATATACCGCTTGTATTAAGTCAGCTCCTTCGAAAATACGAAGGTTTCAAAACTGTACACACCTGTGTGCATATATATATATATACCGCTTGTATTAAGTCAGCTCCTTCGAAAACACGAACGTTTCACAGTAGCACTATATAACACAAGGAAACTACATTTACGTTTCGTGTTTTATTTCACTGATTAGAGAGTCTATATGCTTCTACATTATTAGGTTTGATTTTCTAACATTCATTTTTTTTTCTTTTTGCCATTTCACGTCGATTAATACATTTATTCGGATATCAAGAACTTCGAACCCTATCTTTATGGTAAAAATGAAAATTTAACGTTATTTTGGGAGATAAAATTACACTATAGCTATCCAGTTCCCTGACTTGTTGAAGTCATCAAAGCTATATGCTCGGAAATGGTTGAAAAGTAATAAAAAGGTCTATTTAAATATGTTAAAATTTAAACCTTTCTTATTAAATTGAAATAATAAGTTTTTTTAGATCCAATGTTACTCTTCCATATACGCTTAATACTTAGTTCATTAAATATATTCATAAATAGCATTTTAAGTCAGCAGATTCTACCATTTTGGCAATAATGCTTCATATTCTGTTCCGCTAGCACGCTAAGGTCACAGAATGCTACATATGTGTCATTGCATGGAGTAAAAAGACAACTACTGTCGTGCATTAATATTGCCTGGCGCTTACTTTCGTACTCTGTTTAAAATTCGCGGAGTTAATTTTCTAATTATATTTCAAAATATAAATTTATAACTTCTCAAAGAAAATCGTCATTATTTGTTTTTTTTTCCAAATTTTCGAACAGTTAGGTCATACATGTTATGATTACAGTAAGGTACCTTGTAATCACTCCTCATTTCCTTGTACAGCATCATATATATATATATATATTAACTACCGGATTAACAATTTGTCTAAAATTGCTAAATCTTGTATCGGTAACATTACGAAAGAAAATATGGTAGTAAATAGAATATTTGTACCATATTCGGCATTTAGCAGAATCACGTCTTGAACTTTACATCACCATCTTTCGAGTATATTATCACAAATTATTAATTAAGGATCGAAATATCAAAAAAAGTCATTTCACTTTTATATGTACTATTAATTTAACGAATCTTGCTATTTTTAAAAGTTATAAAGCCTTTAGATTACGCTTATTTTTTTCCAACTGAAATTTTGTATATCTCTATAATCTTTTTTTCTTTATTTTAGGGTCCGAGTAGAGTTCTATGTGAATGAAAACACTCTGAAAGAACAACTTCAATTATTTTTCATAAAAAATCAGCGTTCAAGTAAGTACACAAAATAACTGAACGTATCTTCCTATCTCAAAATTATGAGTGCGTTAATTCAAACCATTTCTCTACGTTTAAATTAATTTCAAAATTATAATTAACTTTGACCATTTTAACTCGGAATGTAATTATTACTGTCTTGCTGGTTATGATGAGCGTTTATACAAGAAGAAAGCGGTTGAAGGTGGTAAAATCCTGAATAAAAGTAAATATGGTTGAGTAATTTTAAAACATTTAAAACATGGGTTTTCTCGCCTCCAAAAGTTTAAAATAATCAATTATTATTTAGAACACCAAATACGAACAAAAATAGAATGTTCTAAAACTACTACGACTTAACTGGCTTTCTAACTAAGATCGTTAAAACCATTCATTTGCACAAAAAAGTTCCAGCCTTATGTAGCACAATTTTGTTTTTTATCACAATAATAATCATTAATAAATTATTTACCAGTGTAAAATATCCCAGGTAGACTGCTATTATTCATCATTAATATCATTAATAAATTATTTAGCAGTGTAAATATCCCAGGTAGACTGCTATTATTCAACCTTAATATCATTAATAAATTATTTAGCAATGTAAATATCCCAGGTAGACTGCTATTATTCATCATTAATATCATTAATAAATTATTTAGCAGTGTAAATATCCCAGGTAGACTGCTATTATTCATCATTAATATCATTAATAAATTATTTAGCAGTGTAAATATCCCAGGTAGACTGCTATTATTCATCATTAATATCATTAATAAATTATTTAGCAGTGTAAATATCCCAGGTAGACTGCTATTATTCAT